TGGTTGACCACCATCTCTTTGTAGGATCTCATCTCAAATTTCAGCTTAGATTTAGCTGACCACAAAAATATTTTGAAACCGAAGGGTCAAAACAGAAAAGAAAATACACAGGCAATACAGATTCAATATATAAACAAACACACATGCAACAACACAAACCCACACGCCTGAAGAGAGAGAGAGAGAGCGAGAGAGAGAGAGAGAGACCTTGTGCATGCCTGTTAAAAATGTCTAAATCCTCTTTTTTTGCCATATATCCATAAAGCTGACGTTTTCCCCCAGGATAAAATAAGGCACCTCGGCGATCCCAAGCAGTTCTGTCTGTTCCTTGGTCTACAAAGTGCTTGTGCAGACGTTCAGCCTCGAAAAAACCCCTCATAGAGCTCTCAAAAATGAGAATGCTCATGCCACGATGACCCTGAGGACCGTAAGCATGACGAGCTTTTACGGCTGGATATTTTTCGAAGTAGTCCAGAAGTTCTTGGTTTCCCATACCAATCCACTGAAATAGAAGACAACGCCAAGTTCAATTTGTACTCTACCTAAACATAAATGACGAATTTTCTACCAAATCACAATGCAGCCGCCTGTACTTTGATGACTAAATATTTTAGATAGAAAGTGACATGTCATCAATGAAATGAACAGAAAACACCAGTCTTTCCACTATTGTCAATACAGAGTGTCGTCGCGAGAGAAGACAACTTTACCTTGTCATCTTCGCCCTTTTCCAGGATTGTGTTCATGATGACAACCATTGGAGGCCACACTATGTCATAATCTTTCTCCTCGACCTTCAACCCTTTCCACTTACCAAATACTTCGCCAGCGGGGACCACTGAAGTGCCTCTCCTCATCAGCTCTTCATCCAAGAGTTCCGCAAGCTCCCGGTGAAGCTTAACCCTTTTCGCTCCGATCGTTTTTGCATGTGCCATCAAAGGCTGCAGACCTCGATACCAGTCGATGGCACCAGGACCCCCACGACAAGCAGGACAGTGCCACTGCCTTCCAGGCTCATTGATCTCCTCAACAGTCAACGAACCCATTATCTCAAAAAATTTCTTAAACCACTTATTGTTCTTCCGCGTTCCATGGCTCTTTTGACTTGCGTCGGAATCAAACTCATCGCTCATCAAATCATCATCAGAATCATCCATCATATCAATGTCATCGTCGTCCAGGTCGTCATCGTCAGCATCATGATCCTTGTCGCCCTCACCGTCCCCACCAGCAGCATCATTTGAGGACAAGTTATAATTAGTTTGGTCATCGTCTTGAAACCTATCCTGCACCGAACCAGCTCTGCCTTGCCAATTCCATCCATGCTCGAGAGGTGCACTAATCGCATTTTGCGTGGCCACATATTGTGGAGGCCTAGTGCTTCCTCTACCTCTACCAGCTGGTTTCCTGTAATCAGCAGCTTGTGGGAACCAGGAATTGTTGCCAGCTGCCCTCCCCGATCCACTATTAGTCCGCATAACTGGCTTCTGAGCCACATCTTGCTGCACCCATGCTTTAGAATTAGAATTCTGAGGAGGCCGGGGCTTCCCGGAGCTGCTTCCAGCTTTGGTTTTCGCTTTCCTAGCATATACTTCCCACTCACCACCATCATCTGGTGCAGAATCCAATCGAACTTCTCCCACTCCCCGACTCAACCGCTCAACCTCTGACGTCTCTTTACCCTTGGCAGATGGATGACTATTGTTGCCAGAAGTAGAAGAACTCCAGCTCCCTCCCCTGGAATTCATCTTTGTGCGCAAACCCTAGCCGGATTACATATTTAGTTAGAACTTAAAGAGAAGAATCGATATAAAGTTAAACGATAAATATTAAAACCATGCAACAAAAAATGAAAGAGACAAAGCCCCCTCTTCTGGTTTTTTTTATTCTTCCCCATTCTAACTCATCGTATCATGACAACAGCGGAAAAAAATGAAAACGAGTATTAAAAAGAGCACGCTGTGGTTACAACCGAAAAATTATAATAGAGAAGATACGTAAAAAGTCAAACGAACGAACGAACGAACGAAACGGAGAAGAAGTATTAACAGAAGAATTGAACCGTGGCTTAATATGAAAATGCGTTAAAAAAAAAAATTTTAAACGGAGTTGTGAGGGATGCATACTTTTAGGATTAAACAGTATGGCAAGTGAAAAGAAGTAGATGGACCAAAAATTAAAAATAAAAATAAAAATGAGAACAAACAAGAAGAACTGATTTGAGGGAGATTAGAGGAAGCAAAGGGAATTTGGGGACTCTTCCAATCCCTCCTCCATAGTCCATACCATATCCCTTCTTCTTCTTCTTCTTCTTCTTCGTCTCTCTGAATACCTCGATCTCAATCCCTCCTACCAATCAAGGAGTACATTTTCTTAATCTATGCTCTCCCTCTCTTAAGACCCTCCTAATCAACACCCCCCCCCCCCCAATCCAAACTGGGAAAAACAGAAAAACAGGGTACTTCAAACACTAGTTCCCCCTCAAAGACGGCCCAACCGTTTTTCCTTTCTTTCTTTTTCTTTGTTTTTTCACTCGTTTCTATCAAAGTTTTAACGCAAAAACCACGCTCGAGACAGCCCCGTATTTTCTCACCCGGAGCTCAAAAAAAAAAGAAAGAAAAAAAAAAGAGCACACGCAGTAAATAACCAAATGCGTCCACGCACCTGAAGATGGAGATCCAGAGAGAGAGAGAGTACCTGAAGATGGAGCAACACCGGGAGGAGACGACCGGCGGGGCGGCGAGAGGAGCGGAAGAGGCTGAAGAAGACCGAGAGAGAGAGAGAGAGAGAGAGAGTCAAAATAGATCGTGGGAAAAAGTTGGGAAAACGAGAGAGAGAGAGAGAGAGCAGCAAGTGTGAAGTGTGTGTGAAGAAGGCAGAGCGCCTCCTTTCGCATGGTGCCGGATCTCAATAGCCTTATTCAATTCCCCCTATAATAATAATCTGTCCTTTTTCTCTCTTTTTATTTTTGTAGCTTTTTTCTTCTCTTCCTTTTTTTTACTCTGCTATTTTTAGTATTGACCTGGCTGAGACGAGACGGCGACCGACCACCACCGGAAGTTGAGCAGTGTGGCCCCGCGTGGGATTTGCCGTCCCCGGGGGCCCACTAATATTATATCTGTCTCCGAACCGTCTGCCAAAAATAATTTATTCGAATTTTGCTGTTTGGAATTTGGACACACCAAAAATAAAAAATTAAATATTATTTATATATAATTCGTAGGGATAATGACACAAACAACCTCTAAATTTTAGCTCAATGCATAATGCGATTCCTGAAATTTTAATTTATTCAATGTGATCTCTATACTTTTTGTACATATCCAATTTAATCAATTTGATATTTTTCTTTTTTATGTGCGTGGATTGTTCGATTGACACATCGTGTACGGATCTTCCCAAGGGGAATTCCGGAAAATCTTCTTTTTTTTTTTTTTTGGTTGTCATTGAAATCCAAGAAACCCTCCTCATCTTGGTTGCTCCCGACACGATCCTAATACCCAAAATCGGCTCGGAGCCCCGCAACGCTTCGCTTCCGGCTGGCGCAATCTTAATTCGATCTCGACGCGCGATGGGTTCACTGATTTCATGGAAATCAGATGGCAAAATGAATGCATCCCGACTGGGACTCGACCGAATCGGTCATCATCAAGAGTAGGGGACGGACTCGAAGCCAAAGACCGAGGATCTCATTCCCCTCCTCCCCGCTCTGTGACGGAGAAGCTTCGAGGGGTTGCAAAAATGACAAACCCAATCAAATGGGAAACAAAAATCGAAACAAGGGACGGAGGCAAATAGAGAGAGAGAGAGAAAGAGAAAAGCGCGCACCTTCAAACCAACGGCGCTAGGTGTTGCGGCAACAAGTAGTGAGGGCGAGCGATGATCGCCGATGACCCAAGTCGGGGGAGAGAGGATATGACGATGGAGGCGATAACGAGCGAGGTGTCTCTAGGGTTTTCTCAACATACATATATTTTGTGATAGATGGATCTACTTACTATATGATCTTCATTTTTTTTTTAAAGTAATAGATACTTGACGCGGATTAATCGGAAGGGGTGGGGAGGGGCGGGGCTGGTTTAACCATACTCGCATTGTTTTCCCGTTTCGCAAATTCGAATTGTGCCGATAGGGCGGAGGGAACCCGGGCCTCGTGCTTATCCTTAGCCAAGAGGTAAATTTCTTACTTCTTTTGATTGCAAAATGAATCTTTTACGGTAAAATTATCCAAAAAGTCATAAACCTATTGCACTTTTGACAATTCAATCATAAAATTGTGTCAATTAAGTCTTATACATTTTCATGTTTTGCCAATCGAGTCCATCTTGCCAAAGCCAGTTTTGGCCGAAAATTACTAACGTGAATGCTGCCATTTTACGCGGCATGACCGACATACAGGGGATAATTTTTTTATAATGTTTTAATATTTTATCGAATTTTTTATTAAAATTTTTAAATTTTCCTTTTCTTCTTTTTTCCTTCTTTACTTTTTTCTTTTCTCTTCTCTTCTTTTCTTTTTCCCCTTTTTCTCTCCACCGGCCATCGACGAGGTCGCGTTAATGGCAAGTGGAGCCCTTGGCCCGCCCAGGCAGGGGTTTGCCCCAAGCATCAGCGGAGAGAGAAGGGGGAAAGGAAAAAAAAAATTCAAAAAATTATTAAAAAATTATCCACGCCAGCGATTTCCATGCCAAAAATCCAACCGGTGAACTCAATTAGCAAGACGTGAAAAAGTTTAGGGCTCAATTGACAGTTAAAAAGTTTAGGGCTGAATTAATAAAAGTGCAATAAATTTAGAAATTTTTGGACAATTTTCCCGATCTTTTATATTTGCAAACGTTTCTCCGTTTATTATTCCATGATCAATGCCACCATATCATCAAGGGAATTCCCTATCCTTGAGCGACACGAAGCAAATCCACACAAAAAGCAAAGATGCATATTAATGTCATCCATAATCACATAATACACATTAGCCATATTGGCAACAACACATGACAACGTTAGGCACCAGAAGCCATTTGCTTGACGTTGATCGGGTAGCAGACGGAAGGAGGACCAGCGTACGCTCTCTCGGCAATGATCTTGTTCACGGCCTGCGTCGGATGGAATGCGTCCCAGAACACGTATTCGTCTCTGTTCGTGCATGGCATTTGCAACGGCAGACATGTTATCTGACCTCGGTTCCTTCCTATCCCGCAGCACCCTCTGTCCACCACCCTCAATCCTACCACCAAATCAGTTCAACCTTTCAGGTTCCATTCATCTGAATCGGTACCGATGACTAACGCCATACCCGCAAGGTTTGGATACCTCGCGGCATTTAAGGAGCAAGAAAAGAAAGAGCGTCGAAAGTGGCTCACCGTAAGTATCGCCGTTGGCCACGATGTCGGCGAAGAGATCGAAAGTATTGCCGTACACAAAAATGGCACCTTGGCCGCGAGCATTGGCGTTGAGTTGGTCCACGAGAGACCTGAGACGCGCGTTGAACAACCCGACCATGTCGTTGACCGTGGATATGCATTTCCCGGGTGCATCAGCTCCATTGGCCAGCTGATTAGGCATGCAACCGAGTGGCCCAACCCCAGCAATCAAGAATTTCCTCAGCCCCAGATTGTGCAATGCCTGTGAAAAAGAAAAAAAACCCGAAATTTCTATCGTGGCTTGTCAAGAACATCGACATGCGAAAGGGGTCGATCATTTTTTTGTCCTAAATGATTTACCACAATGTGTGTAGTGTAATTGGTGATGAGAATCTGAGCATAGTCACAGGGATTGAAGAGGGAGCTGGTGTCATAGAGGGAAGGCATGAGGTAATTGTTGACGTAGTCGTTGCTGCCAAGGTTCATCATCACCAGCGATTTGGCCAGGTACTGCCTCAACTCCTCCTCTCCCATTTGGTTCTTGAGCTGGCTCAATGTGCTCCGGAAATTATCCACCTGTCGTCGCAGCGAGAATCGATCTCCCTATCACGTACACATAGGGGAACGGCCATTTCACTTCGTCAAATTTAATTCAATTGACATAAAGGGGGTAGCGAAACGAAACCGAGAGGTAGGGGAAAAAATGTACGAGCTGTCTTCCCGACTCGTCTAGAATGCCAGCAGCAGCAGAAGCATAGTTCACCCCTCTTAGAATGCTTCCGTCATCTTCAAGCGTGTTCATGTATGCCGGTATATATGGAAGACCCAGTAGCTCCCCTGTAGAATATGGTCGCCTCGAAACATCATTAATCAATGTTGTGATCTTTCTTTTGACACGGGGTGATTGCCATAAGAAGCTCATGTGTGCATTGTGATGGATTTAAATGAAAAGAATGAAAGACGAGAGCGAGAATAAGGACAGATAATCTACTACCAAGGAAGTCGATGATTGTTCTCCCATTGCAGAATCGTCCCGAAGGACCTCCATCGAAATCAACACCATAGGGCAAGTAGTTTGCTTTAGCGAAGGAGTTCAAGAAATTATTGTTTCCATCATCGACTAAAGAGTCTCCAAACACAAAGAAGGCTGGAACTTGTGGAGACCCACAAGCACCAATTGAGAAAACAACCGCCACAGAAGCACCCATTAGCAATAGCCTTGGAAACATCGAGCAGGGTTTTGCCATCTCTCACTATACAGATTCACATGCAATTCAAGTAGTTAAAGCCAATGTTATTGTTATATATAAATGCAGCCCTTGCGACAAGGCAGCGACGGTTCTTGAAACAGCAACGATCCATGTTTTCTTGCTTTGAACTCGCCCAATCTCCTCCTTGTTTTTAGAAGGGCAGTTACATCTTCATTATCTCTTTTCAAAGTCTTGGATTGGCAGTTTGCTCACGTTGAATCGAGTCTATGCCGGTAAGGCAGCATGGAATATGTATGTACTGTCATGCACCACGCAAAGCAGCTCCACCATGAACAAAGGCAACACTTGAAAGGGCGTGGATTATGCCATCTCAATGACGGGATATACATGATGCCCGCAGGATAAATATGATTAGCTGCTTAACGCGACCTCAACGAGAAGTTAAGAACGTCTAGCGCAGACCATATAATTGCTGGATAAAACAAGCTGCAGACTTTCCCCGAAAGCATTTTATCACAATATAGGACCTTCGTTGAAATGGACTCCTAGTCAGAATCGATTGAGACCACTACCTATCCTTTACATCATTGGAATCAATCCAGAAAATGTCACCCGTGAAGCTGTCATCTCAAACCGTAATTTCCCTTATATCTTTACCCGGCTCCTGTTACCTTAACAAAAGCCAAAGATCTTAGGTCCAATCATTGAGAAGAGCTATACTTTCTCCACAACCACGGCAACCGTCTCTCGCTCTTTATTAACCTAAAAGGTTCTCTGGCATTAAAATTCTGGAATAGGTGCAAAGCATTGAAAAAACACTAGTTGGTCACCCCCTGCATTCGCCCTCGTTCTCAAGGCAGTGGCTATTTCCAAAATGGCTTCAACTATGGCACTGCCAGTAGCCCTGCGATCCCTTTTTTTTTCCGATCTGATATGGTGTTGCAGACCGATGCTGTTTTGCCCATCTAGCATGTTCAGGTCATCTCTTGAGCCCGATAAAGCGTCATCACCGATAGTATTTATTGAAGCACGAAAATTGGAAGATATACAGCTGAGTGTCTCCAAAAATGTCATCCGAGATGAATGTACAATTTCAAGCCGCTAGTAATATAATATATTAGGAACACATTCATCGGCAGTCTGTTAAACCAGAATTTGAGCCGAATACCCAAAAAAGCTTCAAAGGAAAAGGAAAACTCACAACCACGTACAACCATGTACTAACATACACCATGATCAACAAGCATCGACTTTGCTGTGTCTACCCGAAGCTCAGACCCTGATTAAAGCGAAGATGCTCTTTAAGCTTTTCCAACTTCGAGCTTCAATCTAAAGATTGCATTAAGATTATAAAGTTCTTCACCCACTCAAATTCTCATACACATTCAAACGCTAGGATTTGGTCCCGATGTGTTATCGCTTCGTGCATGACTAGCAGAACACACAGAGTCATTGTAATTGGAATGAAGATTCCGTTCGCTTAAACCTACCTAAATATCATCATAACTGTCATCCTTGGGAGGATAGGCAGGGCAAGAGTTATCGAAGTCTACCTGGGCGTGCTACTATATCCATCCATTTAGGCTCGACCGGCAACACGTGGATCCAGGGAAGCTGGCTCTAATGCAAACCTGAAGTCTAAACCAAAGCTCTTTAAAATATGGAACTCTGGAAGAATGTTCCCATGGATAGACATACAGTATCCCCCAAGGTAACTGACGCTTTAAGTGAATGGATCACTTATTCTATAGCTATGTCTGAAAACATAGTGGTCTCTCTCTCTCTTTATAAAATCTTTGTTGTCGAGATTTCGCTACTATTATTGTTATTACCATCATCATGATGGTTATCATTGTTATTATCGTAGTCGCTGTTTTCTTCCTTTCCCCACAAGATACCAGTATCATTTCCCCACGAGACACCAGAATTTGTTAAGCGATCCATAGAAATGTTTTCAATTTTCCATTTTTAGTTATGGATAATCCGTGACTTAAAAATTGGATTACTCCATATTAAGTATGTTTTAACACTGCTCATATGACATCCGTTGACAACAAATTTGAGAAAAGTCTCGATTCCTTTTTTTTTTCAATCTGTTTACTGGTTTATGGACGGATTCCGAAACTTGTTTCATGTGGATATGCATGTTTTCAATTATAAAATTTGTTAGCATAGTTTTTACTGTTTAGGTATCAATAATCGACTGAATTGAACAACGACATTTTGGAGACTTGGCTCATAACTTAAAATCGGATAATAGTGTTTATTTGCACTTTCGAATGATTCGTAGTTGCCCCAAAAAAAGAAAAACGGAACAGACTCGAAGTAAACTATGTCTACTCATCTATTTGGATGCGTGCAGAAACCGAACCCTCCTTTGTTGTCCCTCTGTTCCTAGCGAAAGCGAGACAGAAAACTTTACACTTAGTTCCTCTCTCTTGTAATTTTGGTGCAGTGGCTATATTGTGCTATGATGATGGGCATGTTTGATGGTACAAACATTGACCTGCAGTAAATGAAATGGCACGAGACATGTGACACTCCAAATCTCACATAAGATCGGATAGGCTATGTGAAATGACTCGTAAAAGACCCACCCCAAAACGGTAACCTTATATTGACACCCCAACCGCTTACTTTCCATTAGACAAATACCATTAAGGAGCTCAATCAGTGCTTTATATCTTTCATTTTGTACTTGTTGTAAGATGAATTTGAATAAAAAGTCCATCTGTCCAAATCAAAACCATTGTTGATTGCATGAAGAAATATGTCATATTATTTGCGCAGCACTCAACAACATGTGGCTCTCACGGCCAAACTGATTCGTTAGGCAAAACTTCATAGTTTCAAATTTAATCTAGCCACCATTTCGTGAGATGAACTACTAGCCTGCACCAAGAAACACAGAAAACAGTGGATGACTGGAGAGATCCTTCCACCAACTATTCATTTACATATAGTACAGAAAGGAAAACTATCATGAGCAGCCATGATAAAGCTTTACTCAATTCTGTCGGAACTTCAGCCGTACAGTTATTACCCCTGGCCTTATATCATCAAAGCGGTACCTGCACAAGTCGAGCCAGTCGTAAACAAAATTACATTACGCTGAATGAAGTTGAGAGAAGACATGTTTATGTTTATGCATATCATGGGTAGTATGCAGAGGTGAAGTGAGTTACCCGTCTTCATTAAGGAAATTTCTCACTGCTATTGGTAGTGAAGCCTGCATTCGGCTATGGTTGCCTACACCTGCAGCAGCTGTCAAATTAGACCTGTCTCATTGGAATAACATACCTACAGAGTAGTAGTCACAAAACTTGAGTTCCAAATTCTAAGAGCAAAGAAATGTTAGTTCTGAGCCACAATCTTAAGGTTTTTACCTTTTTGGTTAAATTGGAGGAGGGGGGGGGGTGGGGGGGGAGAGGGGGATGCACAGCCGCAATGTTATTGATGAAGAAGGGTTACATTATTGACTCTCAGCCAGATCTCTAGGTCTTCTCTATGAAATTGCCAGAATGATCCTTTTTCAGCCAACTTAGGGGGTAAAAAGGGAAAAACAAACTAAAAAGGGTTGATATCACACACATTTATGACACTCATCAACATATTCATCTCAATGGAGACTAAGCTTTTATCACCATTACGTCCATGGTATGAATTCCTTAGATTCAATTCTTGTCATTGCAACATCACAATTGCAGACAAAACAAGTTTACTACAGATTCTATAAGAGAAACTTTTGTGTAACAAGCAGGAACAAATTACACAAGTTAGTAAAAGCTTCAGAATATATACAGAAACATGACCTGTGCATTTCAAGTTTACGTTCATGACATCTACATCCTAATAAATAGCACCTGATAATTCATAAATCTTCTAGGACACACCCAACGACCGCAACTTTATCTTTCATTGATAATCGTATGCAAAAATCATCCATTTCATTGTACATCTTATAATACAATCTCTAACAGAGTTTCTCTCGTGCAACTGCGCAGAAAGAAGGAGAAAACTTTCCTCGCAAATCATAAATACAGCTAGAAAGGTACATGAGGATGGAATTCTTATTAGAGGGCAATGTACACGAGGATAGGTTACTTATAAATCACATATGAGGAGTGTTCTACCAGACATAGGAGAAAAAAGGGCAAAGTACCTGTTATGACTTGCAATGATAAAGGTCTTTGTCCTGATTGTGGATTATCTAGCTTCTCCTTGTCAACTGATGAAGATCCAGCAACTCCATTCTTCTGATGAAGTCTCTTTGTAGAAACTGATCGATTTGATGACACCTGCAATTCGAGTTTTCGCAGACGTTCTTTCAAGGCTTGAACAGCTTCGGTTTTATGAAGACCATGCAAGTCCAACGTCCATATATCGTTGTTTCTATTCCTGATACTTAAGATTTCCTTGGCTGCACCGTCATTGAGTCTTTCAGCAACCAACCATTCCTCCCGAGCCTTTAGAGAGTGATGCTGTGCAGAAGAATGATCACCTCTTAAAAAGGCATTTTGTGCAGCCCTTGAGTGCTGAGATGCTGATCTACATAAAGTAAAGATTTCACCAAATCAGGATTACTCCAGCAAACAATACAGGACTCCACAACATTCTGTTAGAGAGGCAACACCATGACTTTTCTGAATACTTGCATTCTTGAGGTTTTAAAGCAGAAGGATTATAGAACTGTCAGATAGGTCAATTGTCGCAGCAGTTCAGTAGTTTGTCGCAGTTCGGTACCCAATATAGCTCAGTGAACACCTTGCGCAGGACTACCGATGCGCAGAATCTATTTCCATAAACAATTAATGTAAAATAGCATAAAAGCTGTACATGCCACTAAAATCATCACAAGAAAATGAACCTCAACAAGATTACATGTACAAAGTTTTGCAACAGAACCTTCTCTTTAGGAGAGATCACGGAAGTCCTCCTAAATTAGGCATTCCATGGCAGGCAAGACAGAGATCTGTACAAGTCAGATCCCCATTTTGCCTTCAGTAACTGCTATTGTAAATCTTCTCAGGCTCTAATATTCTTTCCAGGATGGAACATCCTTTTCAATGGATGATTGAACCATCTTTCCTGGAGTCCTAACTACACAAGCAGATATATGATGTGAAAATATGTTAACCACCAATAGAGTTCCATGCCAATTTGTGTGACAAATGTTAGATGCCAAGATACCAAGTTTAAATCTGACAAAATACTTGTAAGTTCAAGACAACGATTAATTGATTGAGTATAAGAGTGGATGCACAAATTAAAGAAAGTAAGTAAAGTGAAGTTTACAAAGAATGAGGATTCAAGTAGGGTGGTACTGGTACCTCAAAACTCGTATTGCATCCTTCCTGAATCTCAAGTAAACATCGTCCTCCTCCTCCTCCCACTCCAGCTCAAGAGGCAAAGAGTTCAAATGGGCCATAATAGACCTTGTTCCGGTGGAATCATCACAAATTTTTTCCCTTAAAGGATTTTCATCAATCACGTATTTGTTGACACTGTTAAAGTCATTGTTGAGAGTGTCAGTGCCATCAGAAAAGTCCACATTCTTCCCTGAAGAAAAATCTCTGTTCCTCATTAACTCATCATGGGAAGAATCCCAAGAAAAAGTATTTTGTTTTGCCCTTTTGCGTTCTTTATCTCCTTCGAAGAGCCCAGCAGATAGCATACCGTCCAGCAAAGTCGAGGCCTTTATAAAATCACTGTCGAGAGCTTCAACAATATCCACAACCAACTCGTTCTCAGCCCAAGAATGAAGTTCCTTCAGCTTCTTAAGTTCCGCTGTGCGGCTCTCTTGTACCAACTCCTTACTGGTACCTTGTACATTACTGGAATCATCAGAAGGCAGTTGTTTCTCTTCATTTCCATTGTGTTCCAAACCTGGAAAATCTACGGAAGACCGGAGAACTGCCGAGAAAGGCTTCTTATAAGAGTTATAGTTCCCGGCAAGATTTTGACAGGGGTTCGGCAAGACAATTGCTCTTGCTATTGGTGGGAAAGGATCATGTTCAATTTCAGATTCAAGACCATGTCCTTGTCGATGCTTTAGATCAAAGGCAGCCCAACCAGTAGATTTGCCCCTGCTATGGGAAGTCTTCTTCTGCTGAGAGCTGTTAGATAAATTCATCCTGAGTAGCGCACTACCATATAGAGCATTCTATAAGTATGAGACGGCCAGCTGGTTACTGTATGCTTCTGCTTCAATATGCCTTTACGCCGTTGACCCACAAGATCGCATCACACAAGTGTCCTAAAACTAATGAAGAAAACAAAGTGGCACAGAGACATACTAATAAGTCGAGATGAACCAGATTTCACCATTTAAGGAACACCGAAACAACAAAACAGTGCAAGTATAAAGTTTGAAAAACCAGCAAAAAGCAGCGAGGCGTTCAGTTTCTATATCTGTGAAAACTAATGTTCTCAATAGCTACCAACTGCATATGAAAGAAACTGCTCAACACTACCTAATGACGAGCGCCATAATCCTCTCTTAATTGACCAATTCCCTTAACCATACTAATACTTTTTCCAAAAAAAGAGTTCCCATATCCTCTCATAAGTTGAGAGGAAGTCCATTTGCAGCACAGTTAAATCAGAAGTAGTTTTCTCCTCTTTGGGAGAAAGAAAGAACGGAAGAATCTCACCATCAAACTAAAAACCGTAAAACAAGTATGCAGTAAACAACGACGAGATATCATCGAAAGATCAAACTAACAAGCAATCAAAGCAGATTAACACTAATCAGTATGTGCTATCAGTCTTCCGGCTTTTCCACAATGATAAAAGGTGCCCAACAATTCCTTACGCACACCCTTTTTCTCAACAACGCCGACGCACTTACTACTCCAGGACTTGAAGGTCCTCCATTTCCGTAAGAGCAACCAGCCCGTTACGAACAGAGGCGTCATGGAGCAACAGAACACAATAATTTTGGGTTCCCAAAGCATCGATGAACACTGACCCAGAAGAGCAAATGAAGAACCAGAGATTCAGAGGAAAGAAACAGGAGCAAAGAATAGTTCTTGCCTATTCAAATCGAGGGGGTGGAGAGGCGAACCGCAAGAGGAGTAACCAAGGTATGAACATATGGAGAACAGTAAGCGACGGCTGAAGCTTCTTAGATCCAATCACGGGAACATGGGATTCGAACACAGACGACGCACAGGTTGTCATAATCAGGAAACCGAGAGAATCCGGTGCTTCTGTGATCGGCGTGCGAGAGAGAGATGAAGAAGAAGACAGGATTCAGGTAGGACTCAACCTGTCGGCGGTTTTTGCCGTTGACGGCTCAAACTATTTCAGTGTGTTTTGCAGAGGAAAACGAAATAAACGACAACCGAGATGCAATCCCACCACAAATGTAAGAAAATCGAATTTCGAAAAAGCAACTATACATTAAAATTCATGAAATTGCAATATTGATTAATACAACTTAGATAATTCCATATTTTTCATATATTTCGTTGTCGATGGTTTCGGTTTTTGGAATAAATGCATGCATCTTTTGTCGTCAATTTTCGTTATTTAACATTCACTAGATATATCAATCAGCATTATCCATGCCAGTTTTGTATTTGTATTGATATCAGTGTGTCACAATCATAAACCCTCATACTAAGATATCATATATTGCAAAATGTAATGAGTTGCGAGTGTCAAAATTTAATTCTTGTGTTACTATTCGTATCTACTACATAATAGATTAAAATTTCGCGTATGCCATAAAAAGGTCAGCACATGGGTCAAAGGACAATAGTAATAACCTATTCAATAATTTGCATAAGGGCAAATTGTTGTCCCTAGACAACATTCCTTTTATCTTAATTTAACATCCTTATTGCTTAACATTGAATTCACATAATGATAAGATGCGCAGAAGTATTTATTTTTGTTGCAAACTTAAATGCAAGTTACAGTATTTTCTACCATTATTTTGTCAAGAGATTTGTTCTCTATTAGGAATTATGTGGTTTCACGATAGCATGCCAAACGTTTTTTTTACATGTAATCCACATTAAAATTACTTGTATATCCTGTTATTCCTAAGGCAAAATTGGCAAATGTCACAATCAAATTATAATGCACGTCGACAAATGTGATACTATGACTAAAAAAACTTTTAAAATAGAGAAAAAGGTAAGAGATATATTTATTACGGGCCTTGGATTTTTTTAAGGAACAAAATAATCTGACAAAATAAAAAAAGGAACAGAACAAAAGGTAGAAGGAATAAAACTGACAAATTTTTATCACAGACAAGGAAAACCAGAACAACTCTCTATTTTCACCGCCTGTTCTCCTGAAAATGTAGTTTTATAAGTGAAAATGAGATTTCTCTTTCAAAACAAATATCATAGGAACAAGCTAGTACATCAAATTTCTTTAGTCTCAAGTTTCCCTCAATGCAAAAATTGCCACCGGGATACCATAGAATAAATTTCTGTTAATTAAAACATTAGAGAAACACATCATGGAATGTGGGACTCCAAAAAATGCTCAGGCAGAATTTACAAGCTTTGGTCTTCCAGTCTTCTGATCCAACTCCACTCGAAGACCAAGTTCTGCGATCTCCGGTGTATTAACAGTTCCCCAGAGCTCCAATTCAGCAACTGCTTGTTGGTTTTCGGCATTTCCCTCGAACAAGTTTCTGACTGTCCAAATACCCCATTCTCTCAAGTACGGGTTATCTTCATCCGTGACGCACTGCTGCATAAGCAGAGTAACCCCACCCTTGCATCTGACCTCATCTTGCACGCTCCTCCTCTGGTACAAACAGTTGCCTATGACGGCAACGATGTCCCTCCGAAACCCTTTGTAAGGGCATTGTTTCAGTTGTTCAGAATCTGCATTCCCTTGGTGCTGACCCTGATTAATGGCTTTTCTGATCATCGTGGGAGGCTCAAGTTCACGGAGCAAATTCAGAAGCCAATCCAAAAGACCCGAGGAGAGAAGTTTGCCTGTTGTGTCTTGTGCATTTTCCGTGGATCCTCGCGCACCATCCTGTGCGCAAATATCTCTCAGCATGGTGAGTGTGTAACCAAGGACATCAATTGGAGAGGACCCTGTAGGAAGACCTAACTTGCCCCTTTCGGAAAAATCAACAAACCCGCTAGCTTTTCTGAACAATCCAAGAATGTATAATGCAAACTCGTTAGAGACGGTGACATCATTTAATCGCTCATTTAGGATCTCCGACACGATGCTAACAAGAAACGCCTGTTCTGATGAAAACTCATCACAGACCATTTGGACATCTTTGCTGTCATCAGCAGGAGCAACAGCTACTTTGGCAAATAAAGTAGGTAGATGTGCTTTATCTAAGCAGATAACTGAGAGAAGCAACTTAAACCATTCTGCTCGAAATCCAACTGTCAAACGATAGAAAATGACATCATGTGACAAAAACAAGAACAACATTAGGTTTAATCAAAGTGGGAGGAAAAGAACTTGAGAAAATGGCCTAAAGAGGAGCAAAACCGAAAAATGGAACTTACCGATTGAAGCAGTCCGAGCAATTTCTGACACCACAGACAAACCATGATCTCCACAAAGCTCTGCCAGGCATACAGGGTTCCCATCTTGACAAGTATACAGTATCATACACAAAGGATCAACTGTGTCTTGACTTCGAATTCTTGCAAGCGTGAGAAATTCATTTGGAAAGAATTGAACCCAAATAGTTTGCTGGTGTCTCTCTCCAGCCAACGAGACATTTGCTAGAGCCTGCAGGGCTATCCTAACGGCTCCACAATCCAAGGCAGGAGTACGCATCAGAGCCCTCAAGACAGTCAAAGTGATCCCGACTCCATTCTTCTCAATGAAGGTATCCTGATTGACAACCTCTCCAGCACATAGGCTCCTCAGAAGCTTCAGTGATGATACCAGAAGTGCAGAATTCAAACATCCCGAGTGTCCTTGAATTAGATCAAGTATCAAAGCAATGACACTCTTCGAAGCAAGATCAGCACGCCCGTCCGCAGTTCTTGATATTTTCGCAAGAACTTCCAAGGCGTCCGCCAGGCTCGTGGATCTAGAATAAGCAAACAACTGGTCTAGGATATCTTTCGGCAAAGATGACCCCGCATTCTCGCCCATTGAAGATTAACTATCCTTCCGACTGCACACGCAGAAAGCAGCTAATCAACTACGCAACATTTTTTATTTGTACAAGGAATATCAAAGACCAATTTCCGTCGGAAGTCAAGGTCCTCTAGCTGAAAACTTGTCCATAAAGCATGCCCCCCAATGAAAAAACCCAGTCTAGCAATCCATCAATTTAATCAGCAGATAAGAAGGTTCCACGCAATGAGCGCAAAACCCACCCGAACTTGATATTAGCAATCTTTCAAACACTTGGTGGGCACGAACAAAAAAGTGCATGAGAACCAAGCTGAGTACCTGTTTGAAGCTCAACTCTGCCACAGAGCTACCGGCGATGTGCTTCCGATCCTGGCCTTTCCCCTTTTTGATTCGAACTTGCCTTTGCTTCTCGGATTTTAGGAGGAAGAGAGAGAACTTCAAGAGGTTTCTGTGAGCTTTCCTCGGGACAATGAAGCCTATCGCCCTTCCTACAAAAACGTTCACATTTTTTTAAGAAGACGGTTGTTGAAGGTTGTTTTTTTTTTACCCTAGTTTTTAAAGGTTGTTACTTTCTCAATCTGGTAACATATATTTTCCGACTTCTAAGGGAAAAAAATCAATACACCAATATGATTTTTGCAATTTCTATTCCTATGGAAAAATGAAGGCACGGATATTTTATTCTGTAATCATTATTAATGAACGTGAAAATTAAAAATGTTTTGTCGTACTAGAGGCGAAACTTTATATTTATTTAGATTCATTTTCCACGGGCTTTTTACATTTTTCTAGGTGCGTATCGATATTTGGAAATCCCCATCATGGCTATTTAAGGAGGAGCGACGGAGATTAGTATATAACAATTTTCTTGGAGTGATTGTGCAACATATGCTTCAAATTGTTTTTAGGGAAATTTTCAATTTGGGGTCCAAAGTGAGCCCATTTTCTCAAAATGGGGTCCCAAGTGCAATCAGTCTCAAAATGGGATCCCAAGTGCCTAATTAGTCTCAATTTGGTGCCTGGGATCGCCCGCCGGCCGGCCAAATAGTCACCGGCGGCGAGTTTTTACTGTTCTAGTGGCCGGAACAGTATTTTTTTACTTTTTAATTTTTTTTTTTTTTTTTTTCTCTTCCCTCCGCCGGCCCCGGCTATGGCCGGCGGAGGCTACCCTCGCTGCCCGTGTCGGGAGAGGCCCGGCCCTCCTCCTGACGGCCCTCGCCCGACGGCCCCGCGTCGGCGAGGGCGACTTGCCCTCGCCGACGTCGGGGAGGGTGGCCTCGCCGCGCCGGCGGCGCCTCGCGGGCGCGCTCGCGCTCGCGGCGGGCGAGGGCGACCCTTGCCCTCGCCAACGTCGGGGAAGGCTGGGCAGCCCTCGGCCGACGCCGGCGAGGGCGACCCTCGCCAGATCCCACTCAGCCTCCTCAGCTCCTCCTCCGACAGCCTCAGCTCCGCTAGCGTGGGCGCCGCGGCCCCCTTCTCTTCCCACCTCCTCCTCTCCCTCTCCAGTTCCCTCTCCTTCCTCACCTTCCGCCTCAGCTCGCCGTACCTCTCCACGAAGCTGCCCGAGCCAAGCTCGGGGACGGGGTTCTCAGGCGTGCTCTAGCTCGTGTCGATCGTGTGGCCGACGCGGTGCCCTCTCCGGATCTAGCGAGGGTCGCCGTCGCCGGCGTCGGGCGAGGGCCGCCCAGCCTTTCCCGACGTCGGCGAGGGCAACCCTCGCTTGGGCAGGCGAGGGTCGGCCCTCGCCCGCCCAGCCGAGGCGAGGGCGGCCCTCGCCCAACGCCGGCGAGGGTCGCCCTCGCCTGCCCAGGCGAGGGTTGCCCTCGCCGGCGTCGGGTGAGGGTTGCCCAGCCTTCCCCGACGTCGGCGAGGGCAAGGGTCGCCCTCGCGATTGCCGGCGAGGGCAAGGGTCGCCCTCGCCGACGCCGGCGAGGGCAACCCTCGCCTGCGGCGTCGGACGAGGGCCGTCGGGGAAGGCTAGGCTGCCCTCGCCGGGGAGGCCCTCCCCGACGCTGGCGAGGGCAGCCTCCGCCGGCCATAGAGAAAAAAAAAAGCAAAAAAAAAAAATTGAAAAGTAAAAATTACTGTTCCGGCCATCGGAACAGTAAAAAACTCGCCGCCGGTGACTATTTGGCCGGCCGGCGAACCCAGGTACCAAAATGAGACTAATTGGGCACTTGAAACCCCATTTTGAGACTGATTGCACTTGGGAGCCCATTTTGAGAAAATGGGCTCACTTTGGACCCCAAATTGAAAATTTCCCTTGTTTTTATACATGATAAAAGCTGTTAATTGTTAAGATTCTTGACAGTTCAATGCGATTACAAAAACGCACTGATCAAAATAACACGAAAATGAACTTTAGACAATAGAATGACATAGAAAACAAGCACGGGAACAAATGCATATAATCTTCCAATAGAATGGAGTTTGAGCTCATTATGCTAAAGGGAGGTTGTCCCTATGAAAAATACCAATTATGCTCAATCTTTTCTAACTTTAGTCTTCTGTCATCTAAATTTATTTATTTCTTAAAATAATACAATTTGTTTCCCTTTTGCTGCGGACTTGTGATGATCAAGTCTTTACTTTTCCCCCTTTGACAAGGAAAATAATGGGACATTACGTACGTACGTACGTACGTACATACATACATACATACATAAAAAAATTATACATAATATAAATTATATTCGATTTACTATGTCTTGGAAATGAAAAGGAGAAAAAGGAAAATGAATATCTTACCAAGAGCTTTGCTGGAAACTGCCCTTTTTCCCTGCAGAGCAGAAATTGAGAAGGGCGCGAGCTTTGCAATTTATGCAGAATAATGACACGGATTTGATCGACAAGTTGGTTGCCCAGTTCATGAATCGATGAAGAAAGCCAAGAATCACCTTTTGATGCAGAAGGGTTGAGGTGAATTCCTTTGCTCACCCCCTGTGCGCTCTGAAAAACGATGGAGTCTCTCGTAGTTTCTCTTCTTCATCTTCTTTCCAGTTGTTTCTATTCGGCAGTGTATTCACGAATTCGAAAGCTCAGAACTCGGTTGCGTGTGTTGCTACGCTTATGCTTAGAGGGAAAAGGGTTGTTCATGCGGTTGTGAATCATCAAAGAATATGTTCCCTGTTACTACTACTCGTCAGAGTTTGGTTACATGTTAGTCTTGAAATTGAAGAAAGAATCTTAAAGTGCTTGGTTGCTTGTTGCTACGAGTTTTGTATGTCGGCCCGAGTCATATTCATGCTCTAGCAGTGAAGATTTTGGCATACCCGGATAATTTGGTGTTTTGTCTCTTGGCTGATGTTTTATGTTGGAAAGTTGTCGTGTTTTAATAAGATTGTTCATGCTTTTGATCCAGAGAGAACCGGTTGCTTGCTTTTCCGGTGGGGAGGGGGGCTTCGGATTAATGTGAAATGCAGAGATCAGTTGAAGCATTTCTGCGAAGAAAAGATGCGCATTGTTATTCTCTTCAAAGGAAAGCCTTGAATAAGCTGTCACTGTTCCTCCTGGTCCCCTTTTGGTGGCTGGTTTTCGCTTCAGGCACTGACATCAATCTTGGCAATGCTCTCGGAGGTAAGCATATTTTCACATTGTTTCTGGTGATGCTTGTGGGGGTGACAAGTTTCTCTTGTTAGTCGAGATCATCTGACTTTATATGGTTAAAGATGGCTTTATGTCAAACATTTGATGCTTTAAGATTGGCATTTGGTTAAAAATTTAATTGCTTGATGCAGGATTAGACACATCAGAGATTCCGGATGGTAAAGTTTGCTTGCCTGAATTTGGGCCAGGATTGCTGATGACATTTTCTTTGGTACCTGAAAGTCATTGTGCTGTTATTTGTCATGATTTCCGTGGTAAGAGTGCTCATTGTGAAGGTGTTGGGTCAAATGTACTTGACAGTCAAATAGAGTCTAAACAAGAGCATAGAAATTTTGCTGCAACTTCTGAAGAGCAGATTGAAGTTAAGAATTCGGGTGTCCAAGATGGTTTGGGCAAAGATGCACGAAAGGGTGATAGGGTGGCACGTGATGAACCACCAAAATTCGATGAATTTAAACATAAGGCTATTGCTCCTAGAGAAAAGACTATGGGTGGCCAAACTGGAAGCATTATGCATAGGGTTGAGCCGGGTGGGGCTGAGTATGATTATGCGTCTGCCTCCAAGGGAGCTAAGGTCTTGGCCTTCAACAAGGAGGCAAAGGGAGCATCGAACATTTTGGGCAAGGATATGGACAAGTATCTGCTCAATCCATGTTCAGCTGAAGAGAAATTTGTGATAATAGAACTTTCTGAAGAGACTTTAGTTTATACTGTTGAAATAGCCAACTTCGAGCACCATTCATCCAATGTGAAGGACTTCCTGGTACTGGGTAGTCTGGTTTATCCAGCAAAGACATGGGTCAATCTTGGCCAGTTCACTGCTAAAAATGTTAAACAATCTCAGAGATTTAGATTATCGGAGCCAAAGTGGGTGCGATATCTCAAGTTAGATTTACTTAGCCACTATGGTTCAGAGTTTTACTGTACTCTAAGCACCGTGAGAGTTTATGGTGTTGATGCTGTTGAGCGCATGCTAGAGGATTTGATCTCTGTCCAAGATGATATATTTACTTCAGACGAGTCAGGAGATGAAAAGTCGATCTTCTCCCAACCAGTGCCCTCTCAAACCGATGGGGATCATCAGAATCAATTTACAGAATCTGCCTCAGGAGCTGCACACAAAGATTCTAAGCAGAAGCTTGATGTTTCGAAGAGTAATTCAGACGATCAAATAAGTGATATTCAACCACAGCCAGTAGGAAGATTGCCTGGGGACAGTGTTCTTAAGATATTGATGCAGAAGGTGCGGTCACTGGACATAAACTTATCCATTCTGGAGCGGTACTTGGAAGAGTTAAATTTTAAGTATGGGGATCTATTCAAAGAAGTGGATGAAGAAATTGCAGAGAACACCTTGCTGTTGGAGAAGATAAGATTGGACATAACGGATCTTCTTGACAACAAGGGTGCTATTGTACGTACAATATCTGTTAGTGCTCTCTTGGAGTCTTATATGAGGTGTGTAATATTTGACATGGTTTCTGGGGTTCTTTCAGGTTAAAGATTTATCTGATTTGGTTCTTTGGAAGTCACTTGTTTCCACACAAATTGATATTCTGAACAGCGAAAATGCAATTCTCAGGTAGTTCTCAGTCTGAGACTAGCTCAATGGTAATAGTCATGTTCTGCTGCATGTTTCAAGCTTCTGTTTTGACATTGGCACATGGGTTGGCATCAGTTAACATGCATGTACGCACTGCTTAAACACATGACCTTTCCTCCAATCATCCATCTGCCATTGTTCCTGCATGGGGTCTGTATACATCTTTTACTTGTTGTCAGTGCCTGCCTTTTTAAGCTGATTTAGGACTTCTGGTTATCCTAGAATTTTATTGTTCAATCATTGTGCTTAAATGTGATTCTTTTTCAATTTTGTTCGGTCTAAAGTTACATTATGTGCAATATATATATATATAAAATGAAAGTTTGTAATATTTTAACTAGGATTGTAATTTCACTAGCCATGCTGGTTAAGATGAATTGAGAAGATACTGTCTAGGAAAGACAAAGGTGGAAGATTGATTGGAAGATGGATACTGATGCAAGCTATGGTTGGATGGGCAAGGCAATGTTGGCATTCTCGGTCCATGTGCTGAAAATCCCAACCAACCAAAACTGTTCGCTCATTAAAATACCGTGTTCAGTACCAAGCTCTTAGTTTTTACAAAAATAATGGTTTTGTTTCGAATATCAGCATCCTTCACCCTGTACATAGTTTATGAAATATTCAATTGCAGTGAGCCAACCATTGAAAAATAGATTCTCTATCTGATATACTTATTGAATTGGCATATAGCAAACACTAGTGTATTGTATACTGCACAACTTGTGAAACAAACATGAAGTTGATGAAGATGATGTGGCATATTAAAACTTTTGCGTCATGTGGATGACATTTTGCTGTTTACTGATAATAGGATAAATGCTATTTGCAGATCAGAAATGGAAACGATCCTGGATACTCAGGAACACATGGAAAACAAGGGTATTCTTGTGCTTCTTCTAACCTTGATATGCGGTTTCTTATCAGCTATTAAGCTTATTGTAGATTTGACTGTAAATATGTTTAGTGGAAAGCAGAAATTTGTGATGTTTCCTCACTCTAGGTCGTCTTGGATTTTCTTGCTGTTGTATTGTGCCCTTGTAGGAATCATTCTTTTGTTGTGATTATGTTGAGATCTGTCTCACCTGAAGATTGATTCCTAGTAGATTGAAGATAGTGAAAATATTGTAGTTTGTGCGATGATTATCGTATCAAAGGTTGAAGATTTCCGCTTGTAATTAGGAATTTATTGGATGGTCGTTCTGATCATGTTCATGGTTCCTTCATGTGACCAAACATATCATGCCAGTTGGTGATATCACAAGTTAGAGCCATCTCTTCACCTTAAAGTCCGTTCACCTAAACTTTCCATGTCATAGAAAGAAATTTGACTGTCCAATTGAAGATCCTGTTCTAGGCTTGGATACAAAAACCGAATCCTCTCTATTTTTCTTTCTTGATTCAATGTGAGCGAAGATGGAAAGCACCTTGTTATTGGGGGTGAGAAGTTGCATGCTGTATAATGTTGAGAATTTGAAGAGATAGTTTGTCAATTTTAGTTAATCGATTACTTGTGACGCGGTTCCCCTTGGAGGCGATTTGGCTGCACTGGTTTGAGACATCATGTATATATAGAGGTATAGAGAAGTATATTTGAGAAGAAAGTTTTCTATTTTGATCAAGACAATTCGTGGAGGATTTTGGACTATCTCCATATCTCAGAGAAGTTATAGGGGTCAGGTGCATGTAAAACCTTTGCACGTCTTCTTTGCTCGTCTTTCGATGAGCCCAGAAAGGCCTAGACCATCTTTTCACCGCATCTCCTTTTGGTCTTTAAATGAGCTATGTGAATGGAAATCACCAGCTTCATGCCATAGTGGATTGGCAATTAATCCATTTGCATGGAGATTAATTTCGGTTAACAAACATTGGTATGAGTTGGCAATCCATCCAAACAAGCTTGAAAAGTCTCCATGAGATGCTTATAGCAAATAACTGAAACAAGCAAGTAAATAATTATACAGACCGTGTGCAGAGAAAGCAGCGATGAGGCTAAATGCAGCAGTTGAGTGCAGTGAACACCCTTAAATTTAAGAACAGCACAGAAATGAAAAGCCGTCTGCAATGTTGGCCAAATGTTGCAGCACAAATATAAGCTGGCCAGTGGCCAGGTATATAGAAGATGCGAATCCTTTCATGTATGAAGGAACTTATATCGTCTATACAAAAGGAAAGAGAAATTAACTCTCAAAGTATAAAGAGGTAAATGACAAAAAAAAAGAGAGAGAAAAGGCTGAATTGGTGTTTTTCGACTCACTCAAAACGATTATTCTTCATGCGTGCAATAACAGCCTCACGGATAAAATTTATCCACACCTGAAAATGTACATAAGACTGGATAAGGTGTCTGAATGGTTGATCTGTATTCTAATTGCAAAACCAGCTTCCACTTCTGTTGCTAAGTCACTCTTGTAATCCTGTTGGAAAACTCTCGCTCATAGGAAACCAAGGTGCCTCCGACGAAGTTAATTTCATCCTGATCTCAATCAACCACTACCAAAGTGATGTCCATTCAAAATCTTTTGTGTGGCTTGATATGAGGATAAAGTCCCAAAATGTGCTCTGGCATGAAGTCATGACGCGTCAAAATTCCAACAATTGGAGGCCTCTGCAAAGATTAGAGAGATTACTGTGAGTTTTTGTTCATATAAGCATATCACTAGCTGTTTGATATTTTTCTTTGCAAAATTAGCAATAGAAATAGAGCAACAAAAACTGGTGAGACATGGTTTGTAGCATGAGTGAAGAAATGATTGTTTCACCATGGAGATATGACCACTTAGAGATGACAAGCACCTTGCCTGGTTAAAACTAAACAAAAGCAGCCACTTTCCAATTTCAGTAAGCGAGACTAAGATAATTCACCAACAAGCATAAAAATCCTAAATGTCATTCTATATTGGAAAATATGACAGACCAAACTTCGTGAGTTAAAGACCTCTTAAACAGTAAAGTTATTAGAAAAGAAAAGGTTATATGGATCTTACCCCCTGACTCTTCGGTACCACACACATGTGCCTCAGACCAAGTTGACGAAAGAGTATCGCAGCTTTGGCAAGCGACATCGTCTCAACCACCGTGTACGGTGATGCATTTGTAATGGGGTGGAGATCAATGTACATTTCCATATCTTCATCATCAATATCTAAATCCTCCAACTTGATCCCCTTTCCAGACCCTGGCTTGGCAAAATCAAAAGCGGCATACTTTTGTAAGATCTCTTCTCCACTAATCACCCTTTCACTTGAAAAATTCTTCCCCTTGAGCAGCACAAGCAAATGAGACCTCAAAACAATTCCGCAAAGTTCTGCAGATTCTGAGAAAGGTGGTTCGTCTATCACAGGAAACCCATTATGGCCAGTAGTCCTTAAAGCATGCAATATGGTCCCTACCTTCTCAATGCCTGAGAACATAATTAATGGTCCAGTAACCACATCGCGTGCAACCAGTTGCCTCATATAAGGTTCTGCATGGGCCTCCATGTAAGGCAAGCCTTTAAGTTTAACTATTTGATCATAAACACCTTTGTTGAAACTATCTGCCACTGTTTTGGAGACAAGAAGAACCAGCATAACAAGGGGAAGAAGCAAGAGGTCATTTGTGAGCTCAAGCAATATAATGCAAAGTGAGACAGTCATTCTCATTGTGCCACCGAGGAATGATGCAGCACCAAGGAGGGCATAGAGACCTGTGTCAAGTTGCGAGACAGATTCGAAAAGTCTCCCAACAAGACGACCATAACAGGCACCAGCAAGTATAACAGGAATAAAAAGACCAGAAGGAATTGCGATGCCATAAGTTATGATGCCAAGAAAGTAGACGGCACCAAAGAAAATAAACAGACTAGATATATTAAATTCTTTTGTTGTGCCAGTGCTGAATAGGTTGCGGATAGCATCGTCATAGGTATTCAAAAAGAGGGAAGCAAGATCATTGTAGTAGCCTGATGAGCACTGGAAGCTCTCATAGTTGCCAGATTCTCCAACAGTTGGACAGCTTACTGACAGATCGGTAGGGCAGGCTTTGCACTGGGCAAGCCATGGAAGGCCAAAAGAACAGCACGAAGTCAAGAGGGCAATGGTGATAACAAGCAAGATCTTGAAAGAAGCACCTCGCCTGCAGTAGTCATAACACCGTATAGGATATTAAACATCACTTTCTCTGTATTGTAGAACCCTCTAGTCACTGTTGCCTAGAATGCCTTACTGTACGAGAGAAATTTCTTACTGTACGTACCTAGGGAGCTAATACATAAGCAAAGAAAACCAAACAAGTTAAATAAACATGAGCTTTCTCTGTATTATAGAGCCCTCTAGTCATTGTTACCGAAAATCCCTTTCTGTAAAGAGAGAGAACTTTTACAGTATGTTCCTAGGGGGTTAATAAATAAGCAAAACAAACCAAACAAGTTTGATAGGACTTACTCATTAATGTTGCTGTAAATTCGTAGGACCTTGTCTATAAGAAAATTGTAGAGACTCCCCAAGATGCCTCCAATCACTCCTAAGATTATAACTCCTATTATATCTGCACCAGAATATGATGCCTGGGCTGAACTGACATCGTACATTATAAGACCACCTTGGCCAAATAGCCCACATTTTCCTGTAGAACAGTACTCTATGAAAGCTCTTAAAACTATAGCAACCACCGCTGTTGTGAAAAATGTTCTCCAAAGAAGAGCACTTCGCCACCTGAACAAAAAACAAAAAGGACGCACATCAGAAACTTCTAGTAGTCACAGCATTGACCATTTGATGAAAGAATCTGCTCGATCTATCTAAAGATATACAGTAATTCATGCAACTATAGGTTTTCTAGCTTATAGGTGAGGGCAAGCCCCTACATTCCATGTTATCCATTCATCCAATTAGCAACCTAATTGAGCATATAATGGTCAAACCACAATTTTTTTTTTTTTTGGGGGGGGGGGTTGGGGTTGTGGGATGTCAAGCAAAGATTCAAAGAGCACATTAAAATATCCGATCATGTAAATTGTGCATCATGAATTCAACCACATACTGAGATATGGTAAGGCAGTATAATTTGCTCGGTGTTAGCCGCATGGCTGCATCAGTAAAGCTCAATACTTGGTTCAGTTGATGTGGAGACACGTATAAGAAGAGCATTTTGCAAAATGAGATGCTTAATCTATATAGGAAGAAAATAGGGAAGCGGAAAGATTGAGTAGACTTCAAATGTATATAGCAAGAAAATATGGGTTGAATCATTTGAATGCCATCACATGAGATTCTCCACACACTTCCCCATAGTAGCATATTTAGAATAAGCACCGAAAGAAATGACAGATGAAAATTCAACTATGATCTTTAACACAAAGTATTTATCATCAAGTTCTTGTACTAAACATCAAAGATATTGTTGACCGATAAGAAAAATAATTTTACTTGAGGCACCTGCAGGATAAAAAAAGTAGAATGATATCATTGAAGAGTTCTCCTATGCATGAATTTTTAAGTTCCGTGTAAAAATGCAATGCAAATCTCGCAAAAGCCTAGCCAAAAGAAAATCTCGCTATCGCAGACTTCTAGGGTTCCCAACAATAACTCATCTGGTCATTAGCAAGAAGCTGCTGAGAGAGAGAGAGAGAGAGAGAGAGAGAGAGAGAGAGAGACCATGAAGCTGCCTCTTCGAGGGCAAAGAGGACACCGCCAACTGGAGCACGAAATGCAGCTGCCACACCAGCAGCAGCTCCACAAGTAATCAGATCTCGCCTATCTCGGTCATTTTTGAAGTATCTCAACCATTTCCAAGTC